CACAGTATGATATTGATAATAATAAGGATAATATTTACATTAATATATGTGTAAAAATTAGGCACCGTGGTAGGATGAAATTCTATATTAATTTGTTTATTAGATGTATCACACACTCAGAGAAACAGTATTATTATTTACTGGATGATGAGGTTTCGAACACAATTTATTATTGTTCATAATCATTTCATCAATTATAATCACACAGCTTCGAGTTTTATAGCTTTCTTTATTCTTTCCTATTTGCCATAGGGGTACTAGAATTTTCCAGATGTCCAGGTAGACAGGTGCTGAATCATTCCGATTACACGTGTTTGCAGTTGACTGGATAAATAAAGCTTCCGTTATCAATCTCTTCCTCCACTCTGTTATATTAGATTTTAGAACCGTCATCTTATCCCATCCTATTGTATGGTTGTGTGTAATTGCATGCAGTGCTATAGCTGAACTATTCTCTAGATTTCTTATCTTATTCGGGTCCACTAAACTAGATTTGGCTAGGTTTTTGTGCTCTGCTGCTCTGGACTGACCCAGTTTTACTATTTTGACCTGACAACCATTGCAGACAAGGTATTAGATAAACTAAATTGTTTTGTTTAATTGGCTCCCCAGGATCCTTTGACCCACAAAGCTTGTTTCTAGATGAGTTTATGGGGCCTTGGATGCTGTTTTCATCCCTGCATTGTTAAGAATTCTGCGTAAGGTTTCCGAGGTTCATTCCTTACCGTTGATTTTGTCATCATATTCTGATCATGTTTGTCATGCATGTCGTCATTAACGTTATTATTATTATTTAATTCTATTACTCCGTACTACAGATAGGATGGAATAAAGAAAACTATAAAATTCAAGTTTCGAAGTTGTGTAGTTATAACTGATATGATTGTGAACAATAAATTGTGTTCGAAACCTCGTCGTCCAGTAGGTAATAATACTGTTTCACTGTGTGACATATCGCATAAACAAATTAATAAGGAATAAGATCATATTTACAGTTATCCGGTGTCATTGCCAAAGATAACTACTCAACTATATCCATCACTTCATATGCCTGAACTTTAATTCCATTAAGCACATTGCTTTCAAATATCTGTGATTAATATTTTATAATGTAATTGATGAGAAATTATCGGAAATAAGTATATGCTTAAATTGTATTCTGTAATTATCATATAGCGAATATTTATTTAGATTACATCCATTTTATTGTGAAAATATTTTATCACACCAATGGGATCTACATTTTCACTTCATTCAGAAAAAAAAGTTTTATTGTCACTCAGTAGTTAGTCAAAATCAGTTGCATAATCACAAAGGGGAAGTCGGAAGTAATTGACATTATTTTAAACGTCATACAACATGCCTGAAAGTCACTTGTCATTGGTTTTTGTATGTTATACTATGAAACAGGCAGCGAAGATAGAACTACAGTTGAATAAAGAGAAGACGGAGATGATAAAGGTAACCAACCAACGGCAACAACAACCAGCACCATCAACAGGAGAGATTTGCTAGAGGTTACTTCCTTCACTTATCTAGGAAGCACGGTTTTAACCAAAGACAGTCGGAATGGATGAAGATGTCAAAGCCAGTCAGCCAGAATCAGAAAGGCAAGATACGCCTTCATCAACCTGAATAAAATTTGGGAATCTTCTGCACTCCGTGGCATAAAAGTTTAAGATTCGGATTTTCAACACAAGTGTTAAGTCAGCCAGTTCTTCTATACGGGTCATAAACTTGCACTGTCTGTCACGAAAAGAATTTCCAACAGGCTACTGCAGACTTTTACCAACAGCTGCCACCTTCTCTGGCTCCATACTGAAGATCAAATGGTCAGCCAGAAAGAATTAGTAACAAGAAACTGTGGGAACAAATCAACCAAGAGCCGATTGGTCAACAAATATGTAGGAGAAAATTGAAATGTATCGGGCATACGTTGAAGAGACCATCGAATGACATTGCGCGCAATTAAGGCCATCACCTGAGTGGAATCCTAGTGGGAAGTGACGATTTGGTAGTTGGTGCGACGATGATATAGAGGATATCGTGTGACGAGAAGGAAGAGATGAGAGATTGTGGGCAATCGTGGACGCAGATGATGAGGACAGAACCAAATAAAAGAAAGTGGAGATGTTTTGTTGAAGCCCTATGTTTCTCTCATAACTCAAGGGAATAATACTATGAAAATTTATATGTTGTAACTAGCAGCCCACTGTTTTACCGTTTGTTGGTGTCCATTTTTGAGCTATAGAATCAACTGAGTTCAAAGTTGTCAGACAATGCACTTTAGTAGACTCAATTTCCAGTATTGCCTGGGGTTTTTTTTAACGGCACTCTAACTGAATTTAATTCATGATGTAAACTGAAATCAATTAAATCACGTCAGTAGATCAACACATGAAACGTAATATATTGCCCATTATAATGACTGACTACAGGATGAAGTACCCTGGAGCCTCTAGTGAGAACTCGTGACTACTGGGATCGACTGAATTTGGCACGAGAACAGATACTCACTGATGACATTGTCTGGCGATCGTGCAATATATCACTATAATTAGCCGAATTGAGCATTGATTTGCTGTTAGATTCCCTCCCAGCGGTTGAATACTATACGAGTTCACCTTGTAACCACCTGAAGGTCCTGAGTTCGATTCCTGTCGGAAGGTGGGGTCATGGTTGGGGCGTACTACTGAGTCTCAAAATAAGAACGAAACAGCTGTCCAGTACTCCCCAGGTAGTTTTTTTCAATGGTTCTTCTCTAACTAAAGTCGATTTGTCATCAAAATTGAGGTACTGTAATGAATAGACTGATGTGCAATTTTTGAAAAGTTACCCGAAAATTCAGTATAAGTTTAAACATAGAGAAATGGAATGTAGCCTTGTAAAAACAAAAAACAAGGTCTTTTTTCTAAAGGATCTGTTTTCATTCAGTGGTGCAAAGTAGACTCTGTCACATGATGGACATGAAAACCCCTAAAAGGAACTTATAAAAAAAGCTTTCAAACAACCACTAGATTGAATAATTCGAAAGTATCTCAGTTATTTTGTTACTTAAACCACTCGATGAATCTAATCAAGTTAACTGACAGTACAGATCATCTGCGAAATTGTATTGTAAGCAATGAATGCGTTCAATTTTTCTCATGAAGAACATTGAAATTATGTATAGAATTTAAAAACAAAATACTTTTTATCGAACTAGCATATTGTGTTTAGTGGTTTTCCCCCTCATACAGTTGTGTTTTGAGTTTGCTTCGAAAAATATACCCTACTCTGTTCATTTGTTTCATGGTTTGAAACTGACTCGAGCCTTGCATCTATGCCAATCCTGGTGCACAACTAAGAAGTTGGGTCTCGATCGAATGAAATGCCTTTTAAGTGTTTATATCGCCTCGATCTGTTGTCTAGCACCAGTACTGGTTATCGTGAATGATTTCAATTGCTTGCATTAACCTGTAGTATACATCTTTGTTTGATTTCATCTGAACATGTTTAAGTCACCGGGATGCTAAAACCCAATGACTGGAGAAAATCAGTGATATTGAAACGCTAGAAAACGTAAGACCTGGGAAAGGAATGTTCAAAAATTTAAAACAGTTAGTCCCTTTTATAAATTTTGATAGCATTATTAGAAGACGAAGATTATTTGAAAAATGTGATGTGTTTGCGCTATACATTTCGAACAATCTGATCATACATTTACTTGTCAAGTCAATATATATGGAAAAATTAAATTTAACAAAGTGACAAAAAAAAAAAGAATTAAGAATAATTAACACAAACGTTTGGTAATCCAATCAAATAAGGACTACCAAGGTAGGTTAAGAGTAATAACAAACTGTTTTTGAATACACAAATATGCTTCACTGGAAACCTGAAAAATGCACAAGTGATTATATCACATTCCACACAATTTACCAATTTTCGTGTGTGTGTGTGGACATACATACATAGGGAGGAGTAATCGCGCGTTGCACGTGAGGGTGGGAGAGCATATCCCAAAGTGGTTAGAAAAACAGATGAATTGTGACAAGCCAATAGGTGCAGGTGTCAGACTACCAACTTCGTCAATAGCTAAACATTTAATCGAGATGAACCATAAGGTTGATGTCAACTCAGCTTTTAAGGTCATCTATAAAACGGTCAAGGACGTTTACTGAAATACGCTGAGGCTGTAGCCATTCATAAACTTAACCCCCCCCCCTTTGTGTATTCAAAAACAGTTTGTTATTACTCTTAACCTACCTTGGTAATCCTTATTTGATTGGATTACCAAACGTTTGTGTTAATTATTCTTAATTTATTTTTTTGTCACTTTGTTTAATTTAACTTTTCCATATATATTGACTTGACAAGTAAATGTGTGATCAGATTGTTCACATTTTTCAGATAATCTCCGTCTTCTAATAATGCTATCAAAAAGGAATGTTCATTTGGAATTCCGTATCTCCATACGACGAAATTATGTACACCTTATCTTCAACTCACAATTTACACATATCTTTCGTGTTGTTCTACTTCTGGCCTTCCTTCATATTGTGTGATCCTTCTTTGTATTCCTTTCATGTCTCTTATATATCTCCACAATGCTCTATCATTTGCCTTCTCTGATATCAAATATATCTTCCTGCTATTTGATGTTTTTATTCCGATGAACGTCTCTTTATACATATACTACTGATAAATCTTATCAGTAGCGCATGCCACAACATGCTTCAAAATCGTTCTCACTGGTGTAGATGCATTCACTCTGTGTTATCTGCCATATCCAAAACAACCCTATAATTTTCCCATTGTTACTGTTCTTTCTAATCTCTTTCCCACACCCCTCTGTCTCTCCTATCTTCCTTTGTGTGCTGCATGGAGTGTGACTAGTTGAACTGGTACACTTCTGTGCAAAGTTGCATGTTGAAACCAGTCAGTCAGACACATTTAAGGTGAATTCATTTTGGTGTGCACTTTAATTCAGTTTTATTTTTTCTATTTTATTTATTTAGATGAACTACAAGTACAGTCAAAACAATTTCAAGCCGTTGCTGGTCGTGTACGAAGGAAATACTTTTGGCAAAATATGAAGGTAAATAGATACTATCGTTTAATTGCCATGGTGAAACGATTAAGTCTTTTATCCTGCATATTCTCATATGATAATGAGTATTTGTTTGATGATGCTAGGTTGTATGGTATTCAAATATTTTTTAAATGGACATTTAAAAATAGATGCATTCATCTTATTGCTTCAAAGTGGAATTTTCACCAACCACACGGGAGGTCTGGGTTCGATTCCCTACCGATGAGTTTCTAAAACTCGTCAGTTTTACTAGGGAGTCGGTAGTAAGTCTGGAAATAAAGGAACGTTAAATGTAGACGGTCTAGCTGACTGACTGGTTTCCATGTAGAACTTTACACAGATGTGCAGCAGTTCAACTTGACACACTCCCTCATTGTGGCAATCAAAGAAAGAGAAGAAAGTAAAAAGAAATGCAAAACAGAGACAAACGGAGATATGAGGCAAAAAGAATTGTAATATAGAAGAACGAAACATTTCTATTGGATATTGTAAATCTCAAAGATTGAATGCATCTGCGCCAGCCATTGACAACGCTTCTGAAACATATCACCAATTGTCTCCCACTTTCATTGGTTCCTACCATCCCGAGGACCCCAACCAAACAGTCAGTCTACACCTCCCACACGTGGCAACTGGCTTAAACTAACTGCTGTGAACCTCACTTTACCAAAGTACGACGACAGATGTTCAGTAACACGTTGTTTTGTCATATCTTTTAAACTATCGACTTGAATCACGTAGGTTTTCTGTGAATCATGCCTCACATCACTTGAGATGAACTTTAGTAAGACAGAAATGTCGGGCTGTCAACCAAAGCGCGTGTGTAATGGTTAGCAGTTCGCTCTGTCCTCCTGACTGTAAGACCTGGCCATGGAAAGTGGAAGACACGAAAAGGCTAGCTATATTTGATTATAGGTGCATGGGTTCTATCTCCCGTCTTAAGTGGCATAGTAAGGTGAGCAGTATCGAGGTTAGGCGTCGAGTGCTAGGTAAGAAGGGTAAATCAATCGACGAGGCTATGTAGTTACACCGATTGAGATGGTTAGGATACGTGTTACGCGTACCTAGTCTAACCATCGCCTTCCTCGACCGACGGGCAATGCCAGCTGAAATAGGATGGATCAGGTTGGAAAAGAGCCAGCGGTGGTTAAACAAAAACATGCCTTCATCAGTCAGTGAGTTCCACAACAGTTAGTTTAAGCCAGTTGCCACGTGTGTGAGGTGTAGACTGGCTACCTGACTGCTTGGTTGGGGTCCTCAGGATGGTAAAACTAATAAAAGGCTGGAGACAATTGGTGATATGACACAAAATCGTTCTCGATTATGGCGCAGATGCATCCACTCCTTGTGACTTATAATATCCAATAAAATTCTATTGTTCTTTCATATTACTATTCTTTTTGAATCATATTTCTGTTTTGCATTAATTTTTATATCTTGCTCTGTGTGTTAAGTGAAGTGTGGCGACTCAAACTGCTGCACATCTGTGTAAAGTCCTACGTTGAAAGCAGTCAGTCAGTTAAGTAGAATAGTGTTGTCTGTGTCGTCCTTCGTTGTTGCGTTTCGCATGTCCATTCGTTGATTTCTTTGCTTGAATTATTTCACCCACCTTCTTTTTGTACTTCTCTGTGGACAAATTAATTGGCTGCCTTCATCCTTCCTCATTGTTCATTTGTGAAATATGACAAGACGCAATGATGCCTTCCTTGCTTATATTTCTAAACTGTTAATAAGATATGCACATATATATGTGATATCTAAGTTGGTTAAACTTGTCCTTATTATTGTCATTGCTAGTGTGAAGATTGCCTATATATATATATATATATATATATATATATATATATATATATATATATATATATATATATATATATTAAGACTTCATGTGTGTGTGTCAACTATTAAAGACTATTATAGACTAAGATAAGAAAGTGTATTGATTGATATTCTTTTTAAAATTACAGAATAGTTTACTGTTAACATCTAAACATACATTTCTAATGTTGCTTAAATAACTTCAATGACTCTTTCTACAGTAGTCGTATGTATAAAAAAAGAGGACAGGAGGAACTTGGTAACCATTTATAATTATATAGATTTACTCAATAAATTGATCCGTTTTGGCAATATTCGATAAAGCTTTAGTCGAGGAAACGAATTATTAGTTGTTTTTTTTTTACTGAGTAAAGAGTTCAAATAATTCACTTTTTCTGCTGTCCTATAACCCAAATCCTTCAGTACCTATCCCGCAGTTCTTTAGAAAGCAGCAAGGTAGTAATGAAACTGATAAATAACCAACGATTTATGTAAATCACCTCAGACCTTCCTCTCACCCACTCATCATTTTAGGCAGTATTAGTGGATAAAGTGTTTCTTGATATTTTTTACAAGCGAGTCACGTTGGTTACTTATAAGTTCCCAGCGTGCATAATAAGCCAATATAAATCAAAGTTCTCTAACACTGAACCATTAAAAACTAAGTATTTTTCAGTGGTCTTACCGTATTTTCACGCTTATCATTACTGTGTTCTGAGTGCTTCATGCTTTGAATTTTTAGTAACGGTGGTGTTTTGTTTTCTAAGAGCTAGGGTGCCCAACCTTCCATGTTTTCCAGCCTATGTTCCCGGTGGAACATAGGGCTTCAACAGTGCACCTCAATTTAGTCCTGTTCTCTGTAGTCGTCCCTAGTCGACTTCTCCGCAATTTGCTATTACTAACATTTAAAATGTTCAATTCAAGTTAGCCCCATCGGACTAATTGCTGAAGAGATCTCAGCATGGATAAAAAAGGCTTTTGTGACATTTGCCAACTTACACCATCTCTGGCTTAGTAGACGTGATATCCGGCTGACTGCCGACTAAAGGGACTGTGTACTGTTCATCAGTTCGTTCTGTCCTCCTTTATGGCTGAGACACCTGGCCATTAAAAGTGAAAGACACGAAAAGGCTAGCTATCTTCAATCATAGGTTTCTATGTTCTATCTCCCATGTTAGGTGGTAATTTAGGGTGAGTAACATTGAGGTTAGGCGTAGAGTTTTAGGTAAGGAGGGATAGTCAGTCGCAATAGGGCTGTCAAGCTACATCGGTTGAGATGACTGGGACATGTGTTACTCATGACTAGCCGTCGCCTTCCTCAACAGGTAGTGTTATTTGACATAAGATCAAGTTTTTAAAGGGCTGTTGACGGAAAAACCAGAACTTGGAATCACTTTACGAAATATTTGAGTTAGTTTGAACCATATAGTGAGGTGTAGACTGGCTTCCTGACTGTTTGGTTGGGGTCCTCAGGATTCTAGGAACTGATTGGGCAGGGAGGTGGGACGGTTGGCACAGATGCATTCAGCCTTTGTGATCTCTCGTATCCGTTAAACCCTAATATTTCTGCTTATGATAGTCCTTTTGAATCCTTTGTCTGTCACCTTGAACTGTTGCACATCTGTACAAAGTTCTATGTTGAAAGACAATCAGTTAATTCAAGTTAGTCATTATTTTACTTATTTCGACGTAACTTAAGAGTTTTACACGCTTATTTGACTAGTTAATATGGAATGCATGTTTTTGTGAGAATGTTGCACAACCAGTCTTCCATTGGAAAAAGTAACACACTATCATATTGTTGGGAGGAAATCTGATTCTCATGTGCACCATCTGCAGATGTGGGTCATTGGTCTAAACTCTTGATATCCAACCAGTGGATCATGGGTTCAAAACTCCACTGCTCCACCTATCAAAGTTCAGTCAGTCAGGTAGTATTACTAACTCTCACACAATTGGTGTGTGGCTTATTGTCAACTTCATGAAATCGTAAATGGTTGATGCTTAATGTTTCATTTGTTTTCATGTTTTTATCATATATTTTGCCCCCTTACGTTTCGATTGGAATGTAGGATTTCTAGTCGGAGCTTTGAAGTTCCACTAGCAATGAGTTTCATTTACGGGCCACGCACACTACCGACTAAGCGAGGTTTAGGAGTGCTTCTTTAGTAGGGGGTTGAACCCGGGGCCTTTCATGTACTATCTGAAAGTTTATCTCCATATTCCTACTTTTGTTATACTTGGCGAGGATTTTGTTTGAGTAGTTAAGGTAATCAGCAATATTATAAATTTAAAAAACCTTTTTTTCACCTTACAGATGTGGGCTATTTTAACTATGCTGGGTCTTGTTATTCTTGTGATTATTATAGGTGAGTTTATGATAATAGTAGATTGTTTAGATTTTTCAGAAATATAATGTTAAATAAACTTGTTTCTAACAGTAAAATTTCAGATACTATATAAAACAGACAAAAATAATTTTGATATACGTGATTTTTTATGTTCTGTTACTTAAATTCACTTATTCATAGTGTTGTGTAATGAAATCATATTTGAACTTTAAAAAAGGATGTGTACATTTCTTTGTTGGATATTTAGAAGCAATCGGCAGGAACCCTTGAACCACGTAGGTTTAGTACTGGTTGGCACTCATCTGCAATCTTGAAGGAATTCACATCCCTTCTGAGACTGGAAAGCAGATCAACAAACAAAGGACAAGACATCTACCTACTGTCCAGTTAAAGTATCCATTTCAGTCCTACAGGAGGTCAATTGTGGGTCCGAATAGCTCATTGGTAACGTTCATGACGGCAGCAATTGGGTATCCTGGATTTGAATCTCAGAAAACACATGAGTTCCTTCGAGACTGCAGATAAAACTCACTGACAAGTTACAACAAGCACGAAATCTAGGTGTGCAAGGCTTCCTACCTATTGCCACAATCATTTCATAACAAGAATGCGGAGTGCACCGTGATGGTGACCACATTGCAAATGTGACTGATAGAATTCAGTTTGCGCCAAACGAAGATCAGACGCATGACATTAGTTACATCCTAGCAACTAATTAAAGGGAATTTCTTTTTGTGTGCACTTAAATTCTCCATAGCATAGATACACTAAATAATTCATGTTCATACCTTGATTGATCACTAGATAGTAACCAGTGATATGCGTCTAGTCTTCGGTATTGGTGCAGACTGAATTCTATCAGTCATGTTTGCAATTTGGTCACCAAAACAGATAGCTCGCCAACTCAGTGCACTCTGAATTGATGTCAGCGGGTCGCATGAAATTGTTTGGATGCCTTGGACCTAGTTTTCGTGCTTGCTGGTGGTTATCAGTACGGCGTTCTCGTGCAAACTTGAGGGGGCTCACTTCCCCTCTTGGTCACTCAGTACTGCAGTGATAGACGTTATTACTGAGTTATTTAGGCACACGACTGACCTGTATGATGATAATGGATACATTCTTAAGTAACCACTTTGAGTCACCCATCAAAACAGACACAAAAATGTAGTCAATATTTGTTTCTATTTCTAGTTTGCAGCCACATAAACAACATTTACTCATAGAAAATTTTCATCTTACTAGTGTCAGCTCTAGTAAACAAAAAATAGGGGGCAGTGTAAGACTACATTAGATAATTTTATTTGATATAACACGCAGTAATAATATTGTAACGAGAGAAGATAAGAGACTAGGTAACGGACGTTTATTAGGGAGAATCTCATCATATTTATACATTCTGAGCGACATTAAAGTTCGGTTACCTCAGAGGAAAACAAACTGTTGTGATTGGTTGGCACCTGGCCCAAGGTTAAACACGTTGTCCAGTGAGGTTATCTGATGTCCAAAATATAAACTAAACCGAGGTTCGAGAAAAAGATCCTTCTACCTCTGCAGGTCATTGACGTAAAGTGCTGATTTCAAGTTTTACTCCTTTCTGTCAATCTCCCTGTCTGTCTGTACTACGGGTAAATCTCAGTAGCAAACACAACCTTCTTCTTCAGAATCCTACGTAGGATTTCTGATACACCGTCTTCGTATGACATTACTGCTAGATTTTTCACACGAACTATCGCATAAAAACACATCTCGTTAGTTATCATTCTTTACATAACGCACACTTGTTAATTACAAATAACTACTCATCATATTTAATTATCCAAAACCTTATAACCTCATTTAATTAAACGCACTACTATTTCGTTTTTGTGTTTTTACCTTTCAGTGTGGTCAGTATCGAACAGGAAAACTTAGTTTCTACTTTCTATCTTCGATCTACACTAACTGTGAACACACACACGATGAAACAGATCACAAAATTGATGATTATAATTCTTCATTTATTTAAAAAAATAACTTGATAATCTATCTTTGTGAGATGAAATGCCTTTGATAAATGCCGCCTTGATGGGATTTATGGGAATAGGAATAAAATCACTTGTCATCATGTGACAGTTTTGATATCATGATTTACTCTTGGTTGTTGCTTTCACTTTTGACGCAGATGGGCAGATTGATCGATTCAAGCAATCCACACAATTCGGATTCACTGGACGACATATTTGTTGACCGAAACCGACTAGTAGCCAATTAATCTCTCTCCAGTAGTCACTAAAAAAATAAATAAATTACATGTGATTGATTAGTGATGGTGTCTACAGTTGATGAAAGCAGTAATACACTAGATGTATAGAGATAATTGTGCACAGGTGTTATCGCAATGATTTACAGCATATCTGTTAACTTAGACACAATCTGTAGAGACTAGATCAGATCACATTCTCGAAAAGCTTCCAGGTGTTGATAAGGCGAAGTGAAATTACTGGTTCACATGGTAACGTTTGAAAGAGCAGTCAATTAAACAGAATCAGTTCGAAGATATTGCAAGGAAACTATCTAAATGCTTGGTATACATCATCTTATAGATAGAAAATTACCCACAAGCTACCATTGAGTCCTCGAAATCACGATCAAAATACTTCAACTTCCTAACTCAAATGAGTCCCAACCCAAGACTCGAGTTGTGACTACAGGTTAAAATGGTCGTTAATAAACCTAGGTCTACCTATAGTCAGATATTATCCTGTTGAAAACGGTAACTTAGTAGGAAGATACACAGTGAATTGAATCCGGATAAGCAAAACCTATTCGGGTTAAAAACGCAAATCGCTACTGTAAGTAGATTAGATTATTTAGATTCAAATCACTTTTACAGTTGTGATTATTCGGATTTTGTGGTTTACCCACAGTACAAATTCTTTTTCATATCATATTGCTTATCTTAACATTGATCATTTGCATACTCATTAGCGAAAAATATAGAAAACCTTATTCTAAATAACATTTTGCTTGTTCAACAACTATATAGAAGTGATACAAACTGTTAGCAGGTTGACAGTACTAATTTTCTGCCAAAACAACTTTTAGCAGACAGAGTGATTTGAACTTGTGACATCGGCTGAAGCTCTAGTAAGTAGCCAGAGTAATTAACCACAGCTTTAAAACACTAAAAACCATTGTGTTTTAAACTAAGCAAGCTTTATTTCTTAGATCAACAAAGTTATTATAACCTGAAACCAAGACCAGAGTGTGGATAATCCAACACTCAAACAAAATGAAACTACAAGTTTAACGAGAAGACGTGGCTAATTTGGCATTGTATAAACTATTAGTAAGCTTAGAAAAATGAAATTGAACAGGGTCTGAGACATCTACGATAAAGATGAACGTAGGGCATAAGTTCCCAAACTAACTGTTTCTTACCCTTAAACATGTTTCAAAGATAAATCTTAGTGTACTAGATAAGACCAAATACTTGTACAATATCCATAGATGAATTAAAACTAGTTTTTAAGACTTTCCGGTAATTCCTTAAAAGCTACTTTGATTAAGTGATATGCATACATAAAGCAAAACGCAGATAGTCTGATTAGGCTTCAACGTAATCTACTCTCCCATAACCATCCCTATTCGTCGTATTCTTGCTTTTTCCCGGGGAACCATCAAGTATTAGTTTGCAGAGATTTAATTTGGTTACAAATTCGACCACGAGTTCACATCAGTTAGAGAACCATTGAAAGCCAGGGAGGACTGGATAGCTGTTTAGTCCTGATTTGGAACTTATCGGCAGTACCCACCGACCGGGGTTCGGATTCTGGACCTTCTGAATTAAAGGGAAGCTGGTAGATCATTCGGTAGCTGGGATCCAATTGAATCACTCATAAATTACAACTCCTACTGATTCGTGACACATAACGCAAGCGTCAGTCAGTGACATACGCGAGTAACTGCTCTCTTACGTTACTTGGTGGGCCTGACCGGTTACGACCTTCCACTAGAACTCTAGGTAACTTCCTATATGCAGCCAGCCGCTAACAAGCATTATCAGGTATTGGTCTGCAGGGATTTGATTGGTTGCATGTTTGATTAAGAGTTGACAGTAGTCAGAGGGTGAGTAGTGGTGAAGAGTACCAAACTAGAACGAAACGCCTATCCTATTAGTTCTCTGAGTGATGTCTACTCGTGACCAAATTTGATCCCCGAAAACGTTTGACCAAAGTGTATAAATTATGTGAGTGTTGAAAAGCAGTTGTACACTAATACAGTACAATTATTAATTGACTGACAGAAATATTTAGAACTTAAGTCACTAGTCCTCAGCCGATTTAAGATACAATGTGATCAGTACTTCTGAACTTATTTTGTTTGTTGCAGTTTAACATCTCAGGGGTTCCAATAATTACACGTTTTTCTCTTCTCTTAGAATATATAAACCAAACACCTACTAGTTGTATGTGAATCATTACCTTGGCAACCATTCTTCTAGCATAACACGAGTTTCTTCAGGGGTTTTAGCTGGTTTCTTAGTCCATCTTAAACGGTTGACGATTCGGTGCACATGTGTATCAACACCAATACCCGTTACTTCTTTCCAGGCACATTGCATTGCTAAATGCGCCATCTTTGGACCAACACCTAAGATGATATTATTAAATACTGTAAATGATACTAACCAGGCAGTGTGCACAATTCCTTAACATTTCTTGGAATATCTGAGTCAAATTTCTCCTTTAGGATTTCACATGTCTTTTTTATATACACGGCTTTTGTCTAGGACAGACTATAATAGAGAAAAATCGAACAATACTTTGTGAAACCCGACTGGATATATCAATCCTTGCAACTCTTCTGTCTTCATATTTATTAAATTTGTTAAAGTACATCCCCTTGACTTCAAACGTTCCATAGCAGCAGCTGTAACTTGATCTTTCGTTTGACTTGAAAGCATAAGACTTATCAATACCTGTAATCTGAACGTCTTTAAGCCTTGTTATTACATAAGTGTACAACATACTTTTGGATCTTCTGATTCGCTAGCCAGTCTTTCACAACCCATCGTGTCTACAGGCGCATCACGATTTTCACGCATTTTTCGAATGTTATCGAGTTGAATACGCCACTTTGATGGTTCCCACTTGCAACATTTCATCTGTCCAGGCAACTCGTCCTCAATATCGTTCACTGGAAGTTGCTTCTGAGATCGAACTCTTTTCGTCATCAATTCCAAATTTATCTCACGACAGTATATTCACCTATAAACAAGAGAACCATCTTTTGTTCATACGTGATGAGAATATTATAGTTCTACAAAAGAAGATTGATTCGTCCACTAGTTATTTAATTGGTGGTGCAGAACCACTCATTCTCAGAAAAAAATGAAGGTGGCTGAGTGATAGTTAGTGCAAAGGTACTCAAATAAGGAAAGACCTTTCTCAATTAAAACAAAACTTTTACACGATGGCCTTGTAGGATAAAGCACATCTGTTAGGCTAGCAGCTGTCTGTCGATTACAACTGCGTAGGTGGGGTAAGACAGACAATCCAGATCAGCAGCTCGAGACGTAATCAGATATGGTTGAGGATTGTAATTAATTGCGAACATGCTACGATTTCATCCTGCCCTCTCTTTCTGTAAGCACCATGAAGTGATAAACGCTCCTTAAAGGCTCTTAACAAGTTCACTTTCGTGTTTTTATTATCCTATTCCTGAATTAATCTGACTCTTTTTGAAATACGGTTGTATTGCTTTTGTATGAACCACCTCTAAGTGCCCATATTGTACCAAGTATGCGTTTAGATGGGTCTTATGAACAGAGGTGTAGTGCCCAGGGATTGACAGTGAAAAATATTATTACAATAGACAATGGAAAGAACTGAGACGGTATGTACGTAAAGCATAACGTTGAGAATCCACAGAATGACGGTTACGTATACTTGAAGGAGTCTCAAACACGTAAAATCTGGTTATGATTTCATTTTGATCTCAGTGTTCTTATAGTTGCGATTGAACTTTTTTGTTACGAACTGTTACTGTATGAAACGACCATTTGCACTAATTCTCTGACGTTCCAGATTCCAAAAAAGTCGGTGCACATATAATGAGCTGTAACTTGTGTGATTTCGTAAATAGACCAGTGGTTTTGGTTAACTTATCACAAAACTCTGTGATATATATACATCCTAAAGAGAACGTTTTATGTTACTAAAATCAGAGAAAATTGAACCTATATAGTAAAACTATGTGATTTTAATCTGAATCAAGTCTGATCAGCTTAAAAGTAGTTAAACAAAAAACTCCAACTAAGCATATAGTTAAATGAATCCCACGAAAATGCTGTTAATCCACTTTCTAGTTATTAACAAACATATCTTGAGTGGCTGTCAAGTGAACGATACTTGATACCATCTAGTTTGGAAGTGACACATGCTGATTTATCACCGTCACTGTGTGTGTGTGTGGACATGTACTGAATTGATTAATGATAGATTGAATACGTTAACATGATCAGATAGATATTCGTTTACTTGCCAGCTTGTGAATTAACTCACAATAAATACTGAAATTACACCACTACGTTTACTAATAAAGCACATCGTTTAGAAGAAATATAATCATCAGGGATCCAATTGAGTTAGGCACCGAAGAAGTTATTTTAGACACTAAATAACTTTTTTTAGAGTGAATGAATTGCAGTGGTTTTGTTCCATCTGACAAACGAAAGCGTAAAATAGAGTCGTGAGAAAATTCATATAAGTTTCAAAAAAAGACAGAAGAACCTAAGTATATTTGGATGCATTTCACTGACTCAATTAAAAGGTGATCAAATGTAGATGCCTTGATTTAATCAGTCATTAATATGAGTAAACGACACAGATCTGAATGAAAAACTGTGTATTTAGTCGAATATAAGGTGACTAATCAATGACAAATATTCGGCTTGAAAAAGGATTTTTGCCAATGAGATATTACCTAGTCCCACCATTTCTAATAACGGATTGTATGGAGCATCTCACTTAACAGCAAAAGTTCATAGGTGTACGAAAAGAGATCCCGAGTCATTCGAAAGTGATACACTAAGAATCTCACCATAATATCTTCCAGGCATTTACCTGGCTTCTTTAACTACATGATTCTGATCAAATTGCATCCATACCACCTGTATTTAGTAATTTATCCTTACAATGTTTGAATGTACTGTGAGAACTCTGTCCAGCGATCGGTAATATGGATCCTACATTGAGAGAATAGAAAATACGAAAATGGAGTCCGATACATAGATGCAATGATAAGCGGAGCATGTTTTCTGGACTATTAACGTGGCTCCTAATGCCTGAATTGGAGGTTTAAGTTCAGTCGTGTCTGGTGACAACATTAAACCACGTAACCACACATATGAACATGACTTGCCAACACGTCGTGCGCCTGCAGACGCATGTAGTTGGTGAGTGTGCTTTATAATCACTTGGTTTGTATTGTATTGTATATCTGCTTCCTGGCCAGGAAGGACTGGAACTCCTATCATGAAGTTATGTACACAGATGGAAAATTAGCGGAAAAACCAATGTAAAACTTTCGGAAGAATGTAACAGTCATACCATAAACCACCCTCGCCCTCAAAATCACCCAGAACTATTCGCCAAGTTTTTCGTTTAGTTATACATTCGACAAATGTATGTGTCAAAATCCCTTGTCTACTTTAACGTACATGAATACATAAACTAGGATCTACCAATGAAATGCAGATGACAATTATCTTGATCTATAGGAGTTGACAATGTTAAAAAAACGGTGTATCTATTTACACCCAATGTAATATGTTACAGTGAACTGTAACACGAAAATTTTTCGGATCATGGGCTAACGGGAAAAAAGTGGCCAATATTGGCAAAGCGGAAAAATTTTGTTGCATTTTACCCACGTCTTCGCTGACTGAAATTGCTTACTTAGCCCACATTGTCCATGTGCATTCTCAGGCTTGGTTTACTTACCCATACTTACGAATAAACCTAAGTCCTCGTGAATTACCTTTTTTCTTAACCTTTCACTCTCAAACTTTATTTGAATCATGTACGACAGCGTAAATTGACACTTATTTATAAGTATAAGCACGACGAGACTGTAAGTCGTACCTCTTATGGAGGATAACGAAATAGCCTAACCTTGAAAATGATACGCGCCTCTATATTTGCAGAGTATATATACAGCATCCAATATCTTTGAGTATGGAGTGTTTATATAAACCTGATGGTTTACTGGTACCCCTTACTAGTTTCCATATTAAAGCACAAGGTCTTCAGTCGATTCTAATGGAGAAGATCTGCACATTCCATGCATTTCGCTTCCACTATGTCTCTATATTTTTATGACGCTACATTTCTGAACATCTGTGAGCATTATATTTTCATTTGGTTAGATAAAGTGGTGACGCGCTAAAGCGCAGGTTTAGCGGTATAGAGAGCCAAACAGCAACCATCGATGCCATTTCTGGTTCAGGCCGACATGAGGACGAATTCGAAGTAGTTGAAGCAGTGCGAATTACTCCAACCATCTGTTGCTTGTAGGTAGAGAATCAGCATTCTCTTCCAACCAGCGGCATGTTTTTTGTGACTGCATAACTTTGGAAGTTCGATTACTGCTATGTTAGCAGCTGTTTATGAGCACTTCAGATTCTAAACTGTGCTTTCCTTCGAGGCTCTTCTGGAAGCATCATCCTGCCTTTGGCTATTTCAGAGACTTCAGTTGTGGATAATAACCAGTTATCCCTCAGGATACAAAATGCTGGTACATGGACCTGACTGCAATAACCCTCATGGCACAGTTTGGAACAGAAGGTATTGAGCTAAACCCAACTAAAACCCTATTTAGCGACTTGTCTACAAGTCAGTGATGAAAATACGAGGAGAACAATTGAGAATAACGCTTATGGATTTGTCGTAGTTTATCTGGTTATACGTCTGGCTAAAGTTTCTTTTGAATTCGTAGTGCTCCGAATGCAACAGCGAAGTTTCCAATGGTGCTTCGAGACTGACAAACGTCCTCAGTGTTTGTCTACACCTAATATAATGGTTCCATTCAGGTAGCTTACTCTCTTCCCCATATCCGGCTTGCCATGAGAAGACAACCTTGAGTGGATGGCCATTTGCGTCGGTGGCACAGTGGTTAGGACTCTCGCTGACCATGCACATGGTCCAGGGTTCGTTCCCCTGCCGACGCACACCCGATATCTATGGTCAGCCTGCAAAATTTGGGCCAGTGATATCCACGCTGAAAATTCCATACTTGTACTGAAAATACGGTCTGGCATCAAGTCGTAATCAAAAAATCAAAAAAAAGAAAAAGCGCGTAAGAACAATCAAATTGGTGGCCAATACAATATATCGCAGGACAGAGGAAATATGATGAGAAGAGAGGAGTCGAATCACGAAAAATTATGAAACAAAATCAAAATATATGATGAGGGATATCGTGAGAATAATGCTTGTGTAAGCACCATCTCACATAACGAGAGTGTTCCTTCGGTATGTGTGCGCAGGTCGTTCAGGTTTATCCATTTGTCCAGTCTCCTGTTTAGAGCATCCACCAACAGAGCGATAGCGGTTCAACGCTATCTGAAATTACGTAAGTTTAACTTTCGCAGTTGGTTTTCGCAGGAGTGGTGATTTAGAGACACTGAAGCTCATGCTGACTTTCTCCAGAAAATTCTTGTAAGAGACTGGTGTGTGTCTTCAGGAGTGGTGTTGTGGCAACATCGAAGAATTTGAAATGAGGCCACTCATGTTTTTGTGGCTGTACCACTTTTTTGGTGTCAAGCTGCCTATCCATCTACTCATTAGCTAGAGAGCTGTACAAGATCGGATTGATAGTAGATTGTCTACAAGTTAATGTTTGAACAGTCATGTCGTATCATTATTGAATTAAACAGCAGTCCTCCAGGGTGGGCAGGAAAATCGACTTCGTTTCGTTTTCAACCCGTAGTTGTGGGCATATGATAACCAACCAATATTCAGGTAAGTACAGCGTTTACAAGGGATAGTAAGCTGTTTTAGAAAAGTAAAGGTGCAAAGGTGAATCATTAAAGTGTAATGAAAT